TATTTAGAAATTAATTATAAAAAATAAACTAAAATTTTAAAAACTATGTAATTAGTTTAACAATATAAAGTTTATTATTAAATATCGGTAACTAACGGTATCTCGGGGAAATTTTCGATATTATTATTTTTTTTTAAAATATTTTTTTTATTATTTTTATTTATTAATTTTTTTTATTAATATATAAAAAAATAGATAAAACTAGATATTCATAATATACTAGAGAATTAAGATTTTTTCTTGAAATTTTCAATTATTTAAGATTCTATTTAAGATTTTTTTCTTAAAATTTAAATTTTCTAAAACTATATAATCATAATATACTAGAGAATTAAGATTTTTTCTTGAAATTTTCAATTATTTAAGATTCATTCTAAAAATTTTCAATTTTATTTAAAATTTTGAATCAAATACTAAATATTTAAGATAAAAATATAATCATAATATACTAGAGAATTAAGATTTTTTCTTGAAATTTTCAATCAAATTCTAGATAAATAACCAATTTATTTGAATAAACACTGATAATATAGTTATATATATAATTTTTTTTCTTAAAATTTTCAATCAAATTCTAGATAATTAACCAATTTATTTCAATAAACAATGATAATATAGATTTTCTCTCCATTATCATATTATTATTACAACACGTGTGATTATCTAGAAGTTCGTGGTCTTTTAAAAAAGCTATGGTTCTTGTATAACAATTTATGATATCGGTAAATAAGATATTCCATTATAATATTGTAATTATGGTCTTTTAAAAAAGCTATAATTAAAAATAACAACAATAAATAAAAATAAATTAAAAATAAATAAAAAATAAATTTATAAAAAAAGATGAAAAATTTCCCCGAGATACCGTTAGTTACCTAAATATCTAATTTAAATGACAGAAAATATTTACAATATATCTTTATTGTTATTTAATATTTTAGTTCATATAATATTTAATATATATTTTTTTAAACCATGTGATCATTTAAAATTGAAAATTCCTATTTGTTTTTTTAAAATATGTTTCATTTTGATATCGTATATATTATTTTATTTCAAAATGGAAACCGTTTTTTAAATGAAATTATTCGGCAAAAAGCATTGGATATATTAAAATAGTTTTTTTTTCAAATATATTAAAATTTCTGTATATTAGCGCGCGTCATAGCTAAAATTATTTTCAAAAATAAAGTAGCTTTGCTATTGATTAGCTACTTTCTCAAAAAATAGCACACTATAGTTACTTTTTAAATATAGCGTGGTAATTAGTAGCTACTTTTAAAATTATGTCTAAACTTTATTCGTTATGTAAGAGCTAATATAATATTGCATCCCTATTATATATTTTTTCTATTATCATAAATGAAATTTTTAAAAAATTAAAATATAAAAACATAAAACAAAATATTAATTCTATTTAAATCATATTTTACCTTGCCTTTAATAGAAGATCACTCTCAAAATTATATTATCCTTTGCTAGACTAAATAATCTCTCAACTGGAAGTCTGGGATAGATATTGTATTTTGTGAAGAGTGGTTTTAAAAGTGAACACTTTTTAATTATTGTGATAACTGATATTGACGATCCCAAAACATTTGTTACATATAATTATTATTTTCATTATCGAGCATCCAAAAAATCTAGAACACGAGATGTTTTCATTTTGTGGAGTGATTTTTTTAATTTTAAAATTGAAGCTGTTGAAATACACAGCTCCTGAATTAATCTATGCAGTAGTTTATCTTTTATTATTATTTTCCTTTAATTTTAATAGCGATTTTCTTTAAAAAATGGCAAGAGTATTAATAAGGTTTACTAAAGGTCTATAAAATTTATGGGGAAAAAACCAATCTATTAGTCGCCCCCCCCCCCACCTAGCAAAATCTTGGCTACCCTTATTAAAATTAATTATAATAACCATTTTTAAATAATAATTGAATTTTTTTAAAATGAGCTAATTTTAGCTCTAGCTACAAAAAAATAGCGACACTATTAACTACTATTTTATAAAAGTAGCGTCCAGATAGCGAGTTAAAAATATAGTGATACTTTTATTTTAATAGCCACTTTAACAGCATTGTTAATAGATAAGCTCTTTTTAATGAGCGCTACTTATTTTACAATCACAAAGAATTGATTTCGATTTATGAATATCTTTTGATTAATCTTCAATATAATGTTTTATTCTATAATATTATTATAAGTTAATATACATACATTTATTTTTAAAAATAATAATATTTATAAATATTATGTTAAAAATTAAATTAATTTACAAATATTTTTTAACAATATTTCATCATTTGAATTTAAAATATGATTGGCCATAAAGAAATATTTTTCAATATTTAAAATTAGCTATAATTTTAAATTATGCAGCCGCGTTAATTATTGAAATTATATGGTAAACTTAGTAAATAAACACTAGTAAAAAATTGAAAATCCTTATCAGAAAGAAAATTTGTACACATAAGTAACAAAATTTAAAAAAAAAATACAAACGATATTAATTTATGCAAATGTAATTTTTTACACAGAAAAAAATAACAAAAGAGAGCAAAAGAACAACTGAACTTCACAACAAAAATTTGAACTTCACAATACAGAAGTTTTTAAAAAAAAAATTGAACTTAGATATATAAAAAAAAACTGCATAAATATTTGAATAATGATGTGGAATATTTTTAAATCGTCAAACTGAGAGTGGTTCCCTGAACACTTTATTTTCATGGTGAGGAATATTGATATCTATAAGGCTAGAAACAAAGTCAGATAATAGGGTCAGCGATTGTATTACATTGTTCCGAAACTGTCGGGTAAACGATGATTTCCCCATTAGCTTGAAATGACGCATCATACGTACATCGGACTGATAATGGGGAATACGTTTTTTCAAAATTATAGCAATTTCATGTTGACATTTTTGGAATTATAATTGATCAAATTATGAAGGTATTTGCTACAAAAATTTTTTTATTTTATGGCTTTTTTTTAAAAAAAATTACAATTTTAAGGAAATACAAAAAAATTATTATGCCAATAAAAGGGGAAAAAAATTTATCCACAAAAACAACTAACCAAGTCATGTGGATCACCAGGTTCAGTTATTATTCCTCCCTAAAGTTCATTATAAAATTAAAGGCAACTTCAGTCTTTTACTTCCCCTTTGCGGCACAAACCACAATCATATATATATAAATAAATAGGAGAAAGAGGGAGAAAAAAAATACAACAGAAGGGATGGAGAAAAAAAAATATTTATCGAAAAATCATTCTTATAGATCAATGATAGTCATTGACATTACTAATATAAACAAAAAAAAATTTTTTTTTACCAAATGTTATCAACTAGTAACTCCCCTCTTTTTTTTCATAAACGAAAGTTATTATCACGATCAAAGAATATTACCCTTTTAATATATTATATGAAGAATCATAATAAATAGTCATTCACCAAATGATAATGTACTTTCTTTCCAACAAATGTGTACTTTTATGTATGACCACAAGTTGTGTTGTTAATTAGTCGAGTTCTTTCGACAAAGACTAATATAGTCGACTAAAACAACTAATTTAGTTGACTGTTGATCTATTTAGTCAGCATATAGATATAGGTAATAATATATATTATAAACATATAAAGTTAAAATTTATGTGAAGATTTACCATAGAAAAGTGACAATTGTCATAATCGTTATTTTTGAATTTTTTCAAAGCAAATAGGTAAAAATATATATTGTAAACATGTTAAGTTAAAATTTTAGTGAAGATAACACAGAAAAGTCACAATTGTCATAACCGTTATTTTTGAATTTTTTTAAAGTAAATAGGTAAGAATATTTATTGTAAAGATGTTAAAATAAAATTTCAGTGAAGATGTACCATAGAAAAATGAAAATTGTCATAATATTTATTTTTTAAACTTTATGAATTTTTTAAAACAAATAGGTAAAAATATGTGTTGTAAAGATGTTAAAATAAAATTCCAGTGAAAAAGTACCATAGAAAAATGACGATTGTCATAATATTTTTGTACAACTTTTTTGCTGAAACGAGCTGACTTTAACCTACGCCCGTTTATCTTATTGGGCGAGCTAGATAAATAATATCAAAAATTACGAGTGGACCGGTTAAAAATTTTTTACTTTTATTTGTTATTTAAAATTTATCAGGTAACCATTAAAAAATATATGCTTCATAAAATTTTAACATTTATACCAAAGTACAACTACAAATAGTTGATGTTATATTTGGAAAAGCTTATGAGATTAAAAAACTTCTTAGATTTTATTTGCGTGGAAGAATATAAATCGACGTGAATAAAAATATACGCCAACTTGCGGATTAAATATTAATGAAATTTAAAATGTATTTATAATTATTTTTAATTTAATTATACTAAAGGATTTAAACTCTTTATTATGAGATTAAAGGAAATACAACTATTATTGTCTATTCATTTATTATTGAATATATCTAAGAATATAATTTTTTTTATAAGTTTTTTATAGAATAAGAAAATGAACCTCGCTCCAATTAAGAGAGAATATAACAAAAAATTTTACCTATTTTTACCTAAGCATTTGCAGCTTACTGTGGTTTAGTCAAACCGCAATATCATTATTAAATTTTGCAACTTTATTTTGAAAAAAATTATCGAAAAAGTATCACGATCAAATAATAAGAATTAAATAAAATTAAACAATTTTAATAAAAGAAAAAAATAACCCTTATTATAAATAATTTTTGGCTTCACACCTGCACTCAAGCTATTTATTATATTTTATCATTAATCATGCCAGTCTGAAGATATTCTTAAAAATAAAATCCATTCAAGTTCCTTCTCACTTTTTATTTATATTTTGTTACCCATTACATAGGGTCACTAATACTAGACGAGCCACTTATCGTGTATCAAGTCATAAATTCAAATTTAATAATTCGTTTATTGATAATTTAAAACAATTATTTGTATAACTAACAAAATAAAAAAAATATTGGAACAAAATTTAACGGTTTTGAGTTAACGAAAATTAAATTCATCATATTATCATTTTCTTCTTTTTAGATTTTCCTTTCTTGATATTTTTATTGAGTTTTCGTTTAGCTGCGGCAAAAGGATCCGTGAAAACCTAAAAAAAATTTTATAATAATTTCCATTTAACATTTAATTAAAGATATTATACAATGTTTTGTAAACGTTTTTATAAAAGAGTTGTTAAATATATAAATGTTGTATATGTTTCTTATTAAGATATATTTTTATAAAAGTATCTTAAACAGATATATTTTACCCATATCTTAATCTATCCAAGTTCTTACTGCTTTTGGTTCAAAACTGATTACATTATCTCCTTTTTTTTTCTACATAGGTATAAAATAATGATAATATTCATTCTTGATTTTTAATAAAGTTTTGATATTTGAAAATAATTTTTTTTTATTAAAAATAGTCTATATATTTTACAGTAAATAACTGTTATTGAACTTTAAAACCATAAAATTAAAGGCTCAGGGTTTGGGTTTAGTAAAATATCGAGGGTTAAAGGGTTCTGGATCACAGCCCTGAAAATAATTAAAACAAGTATATTTTTAGATTATTTTTTGAAAGTTAAATGGTTTCCAAATATGGGATAGGATTAATATAATTATGAATGTCACATTGTTATGCATTGAAATTAATAAATATAATATTGAAGATTAATGCGATTTTTTAGTATTGCATATTTAAATTTCATCTTTGATATTAATTAGTATTATTTTTTTTAAATTATTAAATACAATAAAAGTTGGACAAACTATCAAAGTCACACTTTTATAATGGTGGCAGCGCAATGAGTTTATATTTTTGTTCTTCCAATTTTTATGGTGATTAACAAAATTTAAATTAAAAGTATGTGAAAGATTATACTAATAATTTCTTAAAAGCAATATTAAATCCAATTACAGATAAAAGAATTCTCCAAAATAATGCTTACCTGACCACTACTTGAAAGAGATTAACTTACCTATGGCATCAAATTAAAGTCTGCTGATCCTATCTAAAATAAAAATTTAAATGTCGATTACTACTGAAGGTAATGTTACAAATCTTATCATATTTTGAATATTTATAATGCCTCATTTTAGACATTTGGAGGGCCATATCTCAGATGCTGTTTGAGGGGCTAATATTTTTTCTTAGTTATAGTACAAACTCCTGTAAAAAATTTTAAAAATTTGAGGGAATCGGGATGATAACCATGTTTTGTGTTGATTTGTCATGGAATTCACTATAATATGTTTTCTTCAATTAATATGAATGCAATATAATGTCAAATTCATTAAATAAATTAAGCATAAAGAATATATTAATTGAAATAATTATTAGAATGAATTATATTAATAATTAAAGTATTCAGAATAATATGTATTTTGATACAGATAACACCAATGTTTATAAATGATTTTATTTTACATATAAATTTATACCTGCAGCATTAGCAGTTTACATAGGCATTTGCAATCATCAAATATTTGAATTTAAAAAAGACATAAGATATTTATATGAAAAATTTGAAATGAAGAACTTTTAATTTATAAATATGATATTAATAAAAAAAGACAGGAGAATTTTCAATTAATTGAACATTGTTTTATGGCTTGAATATTTTATATTAACTGCCCAAATATTTTTTTTGATGATAAAAATACAACCATTTTGATAAATTTACTACCAAAATTAATCATAACTGATGGAAACAAATGATGGCAAGCTAAGATTAAACAAAAGATTTTAATATAAAAATGATTTTTACATTATGATCCAATATATCTAAAATTTTAAGTTTATATAATATTATAAAATAATATAAATTTGAACTTAAATAAAATGAAATAAGTTAGTAAAAATCGCGATATATTTTATAAATTAGAAATCTCGATATATTTTATAAAAGATCATAAGTAGAACTCGCGATGTATTTTATTAAAGGTTATTCCAATATATTATAATTTATTTTAATTAATTTTATAATTATTTTTTAAATTTATTTTAATTAATATATTATTTTATTTTAATTAATATTAAAATGTCATTTTATCTAACATCTATAACAATAACCTATCCAGAAATACATTATAACTTCGAAATTGAAGAAATAAAAAACCCGGCTTAATATACAAAAAAGGATATTCTAAAAAAAGTCAGGCAATGCCGTTCGCGTTTTAAACAATCAAGTCAAATGCCAGATTATGTTTTGAGCTTATAGTGGGCCAGACATCATGAACCAGGCCCAGACCAAGGAAAATATATTCAGTGCAACATATCTAGCGTTCAATTACATGTAACAAGTATGTTACAATGCTGTATGAGAGTTTTATTTAAGGGAAAATTTCCAATTAAAACTCATAAAAAGTTGATTTAAAAAAAGAAGATCAAATTACCAAAGTAGCCTTTTCTATCTTGCGCTTTCGTCTAACCTCCCTACTATGAGTCCTTATAGCCGACAAAAGGATTTCGTAATTTCCAGGTCCTAATAGAACCTTGATAACCATGTGCAAACGTGGGCCCAGATCAGCCAAGGCTACTAAAACCGGGTCACTTAGGGTTGTTTGAGGTCGATTCATGATAGCCGTGCCAATTTTTTCAAGCCAATTAAGGATCAAAGTGAATACTCGAGCGGTATGGAAAGACCAAGGCTCAAACTTCTTAGTTTCTAAGGTAGACCGGTTTGGCGAGACAGCATCTGTTAAGACCGTGCCAGGTAGTTGGCAAGTTTGCGTGGAAAAACTTTCTATATTTAAGATATCGATTGAGTATCCCGAAGGCGATAAAATGTTCCAAACGAGTTTGAGAAGGGCAAATCGCTTTCAATTTAAAAGATAGAATTTTTTATAAAACGTCTAATCGTCTTTTTGGTGTTTATATCTGATAATTTTTTTTAAGCGATTAATCTAATGGGAATAATTAAATATATATAAGTTACTTTAAAATAAATCCTGGGGCTATTTTTGGCTTCATACAAAAATTCGCGATTCATTTTGAAAACTAGCCAGGAGAGAGGAAACCGAGTGAAACGATAGTACTCGTTGGGGGAGTGAAAGGTTATTTTAAGGTTTGAATCTGACGTGAAGTGAAGCAAAGCCAAGATTTTGCCCAAGAAAGAGAGATTAGCTATCAGCTTGATATATATATTTTAATTTTACAAAAAAAATTAAAAGAAAAAAAGAGTACCGGAGTAAATAAAAAACTATCTGGCCCGATACCGATAAAAAATTTGGATTTGGTATATTTCTAATTTATAAACTTATAGATGAATCGTTAAAAGTCGTAAATATTTATAGAATTTTTTAAAATAAAGATCTGGCTTTTTTTTATAAAAACGGGTTTTTAAGTAGAACCTCACTGTTTAAGAAAAAAATGGTATACACTCTATTAAACATTCACTCACTCATCCAATATTATACGAATCATCGGGTAAAACCATAAAATATATAGAGTATTAATATTTTTTGAACATTAAAAATTACATCATTTAAATCCAAAATCTAACTGAAAATAAATTATCCTTTACAATTCCTTCTATCAAATATTCCCCTCAAATAATACCGTCTCCAAAAACTCCTCGTCCAGGAATGGGGATCTAAAATGTAAGAAGAAATGGTATGTCAGTTCGAATATCTTGCAAGGATTAGATTGAGAGGTAAGAATGGACCGACAAAGCTCGGTTCCATTTTTAGCAACCAGCTTAGTGGCTTTAAAACTTTGGGCAAGAAGAGCATGGAAAACGTTAGAGGGTGATGTGGTTGTCTCAAAGGCAGAACGAAAGAGTGTATCGACCTGGGACCGGATCCAATGGTGAGGGTGCAGAACAAGGTTGGAGTGACAACGGGCCACTACACCGCTAAAATCGGTGTTCGTTTCATCTAAAATTTCTTTTAGTATACCGGATATGAACTGGGTGTCAGTTAGTGGTTCTAATTAATTAATGGAACAAGATAAAATATAACATTTAAGTTATGCATAAAAGATGTGAAGAAATTTATATAATAAGTTTAGTAATTAGAAAGATGGCGCAAGCAACTAGGGATGTAAATTTCCTAAAAAAAAAATCGGTTTTTTAAATGGTTAGATCTCTATAATTTCGTTCTATAAGAGATCTCCCTGATATAAATAAATGCTTGAGGGTCAGATTATATTTATCTGCTTCTATTGCCTTTATTTGTTTAGGAATGGCTTTATAAAATTGTATAGCTGTTCAAGATCATTTTAAAAAACCTTCATTATCGAGAAGAGCAAATCTCTCATATCTATCAAGAAAAAATATGAAATTGTCATTTCCTGAATATTTTTTAACAGGCTATTAATTATCAAAACTATGTCTGTTTAACGAGTTAGGATAGGCAACTTTAAGTTAAGAAAACAATCCAATTTTTATTTTACATATTTTATAATACATTTTCCCATCACTAATGAGGGTCTAATATTATTATTTTTTAACTAATCTTTCGGTTACTATATTTTTAATCCTTTCATTCACTTTCTAACAAATTTTAACTGAGTAAATATCTTAAGAGAATTTTAAATGCTGGTTTTAAAAATTAAAATAACTTACTCCAATAAAAGCTAAGTTATGAAAAATGGACAATTTAACATAAAAATGATTGTTGCGAATTCAATTATCTATAGTTTACTTTGGTTTTCTGATGATACACTATTAATATATTTCAATGAATTGTATTTTTGGAAATTTATATTATTAATTGAATTAAAATTAGAAGAGAAAGTTGACCTACTCTATATTTCTTTAACCTTTAATCCTGCTTCTTATCCTTACCTCAGTTAATAAATGTTTTAATTTCAAATATATTTCAGCCAATTAAAAATTTTCCTTCAGGTGGATATTACGAGTTAAGCAATTATATTTTCGTGAATGAAAGTTCATATAAAAACAACATAATTATGATTTATGAAAGACAAGGAAAAAATATTTTTGTAAAATATGATAAAAAAAATTGATTATTTTAAACTAGGGGTTCTAGTGTTACATTCCTACAACAATCTCTTCATTATTTTAAAAGGTCATTTATTTCTAAAAAATTTCGGGTAACCTAAATTAATAATGGGTATCGACCAATCTGATATATCAATACTGAATATTCTTTTTAAATCGAAATATTCTATTGGCATTTATCTTTGCTATATTTTTAATTTATACTATAATTCCTTTGTGTAACTTTATATGTAATATACTAGTACTTTTTCTAAGTGATAATGTAAATAAATTAATGCAATATTATAGTTTAACTTGTAAGAAAGATATCTAAAAATATTTGGGCAAAAAAATTAAAAATACTGGTATTAATAACAAACCGCGTATATAAGAACGAGGGAAAATGTTGGAGCAAGTTGCCTCCACCTATTTTTATGGTGGTCAAAGTGGTAATATTTACATGAAGGGGGGAAGGGTTAAGGGATAAATCATTCAAGGTGCTCTGGTCTTTTTATATTATAAAAATCATTAAATACTTCTTTTATATTTCTAACAATTTTAAATAAATTAGAACTATAATATAATTATTCAATTTAAATTATCTCTAGAAATTATATTAAATACAACTTTAATATTTAAATCAAATTATAATAAATGATGACCTCTATAAAAAATAACATATCTTATTTTCCTAAAATAAAATTTTTTAAAAAAAATACATTTAATGAAGGAAAAGGTATTATATATATGATACATAATATATGACTGGAATACATCCATATAGCTGAATTATGTAATAAAACTAGTAACAATATAAAATGGTGTTCAACTGAAAAAGAGTAATACTATTTCAAAAAGCAAAAACATTAGTTAATGAACAAAATACAATATAATTTTATAACCCAAACCTCGAATTGATATTAGAAACTGACACATCGAAACGGAGATGAATTACCAATAGCGAACGCCTCGGCCTTAACAACATTACAGGGCTTAAATAAGAATTATTCTACAAAAGATAAAAAAGGCGAAAACTATATTAAACGGCATAGTAAAATTTCATAATTACTTATATGGAGGATAATCTACAACATGGATAGATCGTATGGAAATAAAAGAGACTTGAGCATATTAACAAATCAATGATTGTATGATGAGCATATAAATTATTTGTGTATGACTATAATAATATAACGTATTATTATAACAGGCGCATTATCGCGAAATCCAATAGAGAAATATGATAATATAATAACTGGTGAAAATAAAACAGTGAATTACATTAGGAATCTTGAAAAATTAAATTTATCTAGAAAAGAACACGTGAAACCAAAAGAGAGCCAATATTAGGAATAGTAGAAATACTAATAAATTGTATACACGTCCAGAATCAAGCACGTGAATTACAAGCATTTCAAGCAAGAATAGAGGCAATAGAAAATAATGACGGCATTGGAATGGCTGATTAATTATTCGGTACTGACTTCAAACGTGGTGTTACATATATTATAGGTCATCAAGGTATTACCTATATGAAATCAAATGCTAGACATTATATATGCTGGAAAACATTCGATAAGGATGTAGAAAAATTAGTGAAGTATAGGATGTCAATAACATGAAATATATCAGGAGTAGCAGTATATATATGGAATCGACTGTCACAACCACGGGACATTTATATAGTGCTGGATCACTAGATGGATTTTATTGGTTAATAGGAATCGATGCCTATTCTAGATAAAGATATAAAATAAAGCCAAAAGAAGTCAAAATATAATGAATAGATTAGGAAAATAGTTTGCCAGATATCTAATACCATGACAAATAATAACCGATAATGGGCAGTAATTCATTTCAAATGATTTTGATATATATATAAAAACACGAATATACAACACATAAAAATAATACCATATTATTCAAAAAGTAATTGCTTAGTCGAAAGATGTATTCAAACTATGAAAAATCGATAATTCGCTAAAAGATAAAAAATGAACAATGATATGAGATGTTTAAATGAAGTATTGTTTAGATATAGAAATTCAGAAAACTCAGCAACAGGGAGAATACTGCCAAAACTAATTATAGTAAGAAGAATAAATATATAACTAGACTAAGTCAAACCTACGATTGTCGAAAAATTAGGTTAGTAGTAAAAATCAAATCATTTAGAAAAAGGAAGACATTGATCATTTGAATAAAGCACTTAGACTGGGTTAAAAATCCAATTGAAAAAGATTGGCATGAAAGAAAAATAACAAATTAGTAAGCTAAAAGGGAGGAACCAATTAAGTTCGACTTCGATATAAATAACAATTAACCACAAGAAACGGTCCCAACTAAGTCCATAAGAAACAATTTAACTAAAAATCCTGAACATAGATATCCAAAGAGAGAACAGAAACAAAAAAAGGATTAATTGATCAACTTGAATTGTGAGAAAATAAGATGTTATATTTTAATATAAAAGAGGTCATCGTATTTAGTTAATATTATTAGAATATAGAAGTTCGGATTTAATATATAACATAAATTATAGAGGTCATTCAATTGAATAATTATATTAAGAGAACTAAGTAATAATAATTTTTATATATATCCTAGATTTATTATATAAAATTTAGCAGCTTAAATGAGTGGAAGAAAAGTATGGTCAATTATAAAAATCACAACGGGTAAGCTATATAATTATAAATTCAAGGAAAAAATTACCCTTCATTTTGATCCCGTAAACCAATGCCAACATTAACGGATCAGGAAAGAATGGGGCCACTTTTTGCATGGTATCTAGCAAGCAATATATCCAGCGATCTAAACAAGAATGACCGTCAGTGGGTTTTACTACTAACCCATTTCCTTTTTCCCCTTCAAGTTCGCCTAAATCTCCGCTATAACATATCGCGATTGGCTCATTTCTCTCCCCCAAATCAGTTTTATTATTATTGTCTAATAATCCATTATATCCACGGGCGTTAATTGAGCGCATTACGTTACACCTATTCTCACGTCCCTCTTCAGATTCGAGGCGAATAGCTAAAAGTAACGCATCAAGCAGGGATGAGGAAAGATAACGATTAGCTTGTTTTAAGAGATCTGAGTTAGGAGGATGGGTTTGGGCCTCGAAGAAAATACCGAGAAGGCGAGTGCCAAGGGTTCTGAGAGAGATCTAGAATATATTAGAGAAATATTTATAACCTTTAGATAAATCAAATTTAAATTTACCCTATTTTCTTTGCGGTCGTGAGTCCATTCGATACTGATTCCCAATAAATCATCACAAACGTCATTCGCACTACCATCTATTTTATTTTAAGAAATTTTTAGAATTATTTTCAAAATTAGCAATTAAAAATTTGTTAAAATAAAATCCACTTGAATCAATTTTTTATTCTGGAACTCGCAATTAAATGTGTTTCCTAAAAACAAATGTAAATTGTAATCTAAGTAGTGTATTATATGAAATGGTAACCGGAGAGAATATTAAAATTACACTAAAAATTAATTGAATTTTATTTTATCACAAAAACCAAAAATAATAATTAACCTTTAATACAATCGCAATGTTTTTATATAATTTAAATTTGCATATCCATCTAAGGCCATTTCCAGACAGAACGTTTTTACAAGGCGGTTTTGGGGTAATTTTACCAGTATGTTTTTTATTTACAAACAAAGGATAATAATTTATAGAATCAATTTTTTTATAATTTAAAAAAAAACAATCCGGATCCCTATTTTAGACGCCATTTAATCGAGAATAGAAAACAAACTGGTTTGATTTTAATAACGATTAAATGGTGTCTGAAATAGGGATCTGGATTTGTTTTAAAAATATTATATTATATAAAAAAAAATAATTCCACTAAATATTATCCTTTGTTTGAAAAAATTTTTTATTGGAAAACATGCCTCAAAATGCGCTTTGAAAAAATGTTCCGTTTGGAAATGGTATAATAAGATTTTCCTTTTTTAAAATCTTTTTACAATTCAATTTCTTTAACTCTAATAATTAAAATTTACATACTATCATTTACCAAATATATAATCAATTAACATTTTTATAAAACAATCACGAGACACCCTTTTCCTTAATATTGTTAATCACAAGGGCAAGGGCCCGTATTCGTTCCTTGCTGATTCATCAACCGGTTTTATATAATAATCACGGTATATAATATTCATCATACATGAATGAGAATGTTTGATCTGCATCGAGCCTAATTTTTTAAACCCGACCAGGCCCGATTTTTTTATTTGTCCCGAAAAAAACCATTTGGTGCACGGCCAGACCCGAACTTATATTATATATATTAATTTTTTAAGATTTTTATTAATCCTAGACTTAACGCCAAATTTACTATAAATAAATTGTACATTTTTAATTGTAAAAAATATATTTTACAAACTAATAAAAAATATTGGCGCCTTGTTTCTTGAAATATTTATAAATATATCAACTTTATTTCAAAAATGGAATCATATTATAATTCAAATTAAGTTCTGAACCAAGCCTGAACCGAAGGCCTAATATATATAGAATAATTTAAAAACTATTCTCTTCTTTAGCCCGTCCAAGTTTTTTCAAAAGGGTCAAAAGTAAAAGGCGTATCAAGTCCGCACATCTCGGACTTGTTTCTGCGGCAAGACGAGAGGAAAGCGCGAGAAATAAAAAGCGTGCAGAAACGGAATTAGAAGCACGGGTTTTCTAGGGAAAAATATATTATTTTTAAAAATCATAACGATTTGTAAATAAGCCTAAATAAAAATATGTAAATTGAATAGCGTAAAAAATTTCAAGTTTTACTTTAGAATTTGAGGGGGTGGAAGTAAAGATGTGAGCTGGAAGGCGGGTCACGAGAGTCATGATCAATTGGAGGGCGGAGGCTCGCCCGCATTCCATAGGATATGCCAAGTTGGAGATTAGGAAATCAAGATGAGATCCGAGAGAAAATGAACGAGAGCGACAGTAGAGAGCGAGGTACTTTAAGTAGATCTGGTTGGATTTGTGATGGAAGGAAATAGAGTTGAATATATATTGTAAATTGAATTCTTAAAAAACTTAATTTTATTATTATCAGCTATAAATATTTCCTTTGAATCTTATAACTCCATTTATACATACCGCCGCTTTAAGCCCTAATATCATAGCGACCTAAAAATTCTAAAACTTTTGAATTGAAAATTGATTTACATAAGGGTAACTATGATATATAAAATAGATTAAAATGTTAGACAATTGTATAATATTAGCTAAATAATTTGTTTTGTTCTAAGAAATATAGATTTTTTATATACAGGGTCATTCCTCAAATTCATCACGATTCTCCTAACCTCTTGGGATTTAAGTGAAATTGTACACAAGTTAAGGTAAAAATAACTAAAGGAGTTCAAATTAGAGCATCCTAGCGTTTATATTATCAAAGGTCAAAGCATGTTGACATTTTTACTATGGCTACACCAATAACCAATTTTTTCATAGATCAAACATTTATTTACCAATACCGATATTTACATTGATTATTTTTGATAAAATAAGAGAAAAACAAAAATCTGTGTTTACAACATTTTAAAAAGCGTTTTAATCAGATATTTCACTTATATCTGCTCTTGAAAATCAAAAAAAGTCTCAAAGCTTTAAAATTCTAAAAATATGTCTTATCTTTACATTTATATAAAGGTTTACATTAAGATACATAGTAAATAATGTCTTATTTTATTAAGTTATAGCCCTTTAATGAATAATTATACATATAGTTCCATACTATTATTTTTTAATGATGATCAGAATTTTCACTTATCTATTTTAGTCCTAATACAAATAAATATAAATTTATATTCTTAACACACTATATATTCACAAGTTGATAGTCCGTCAAGAATGACGCCGAATCAGAATTTTCTTCTTATTCGATGATTGTTGAATGATAAATTTCATCCTTATTTGATGTTGGGTTAATCAGAAATTTCCCTATCGTTTGAGGTGTGATTAAGAAATTTATTTTTATTTTTGATGAGGGTTATTCTAAAATTTCCCATAATTTTTAAAAAATAGATAATGAAGTATATGTTTATTAAAACCTTTAATTTATGTGCACAATTTGTATTCATTTGTAATTGTAATATATAAAACCTAAAAAATAATATTCTTGCTAGATGAGAGTTTTGTCTAACTTTCTGAATCACACCTCATAAGATAGGGACTGATTCATCCATCATCAAATAAAGATAAAACTTTTATTCAATAATCATCGAATATTTCTGATTCCCAATAAATCTTGACGGGCTATCAGCTAGTATAAGTATTGTATTTACAAAAATGGATATTTTAAAAATATACATGTAAATATTTAGACCGGGCCGGGTATTTAAAAAAATTTTTTAGCCTGGGTATTTTTTTTGGTCCAACCAGATTATATAAGAAAAAATTACAGGAATTTTTAGAAAAAATGCCCACTCCGGCTATTTAAAAAAAAATTTAACCCCGACCTGGGTATTTTTAAAAAAATAGGTTTTACCGGTGTACCCGGGCTGGACATGCAGGTCTCTGATATATAGCTGTAATACATGTAAAAATTATATTCTTCATTTATATATATAAATATATATTTCTTATAAATCTTTTTTTTGGTGTTTAACAACATATAATTTGATTTAGGCCTTGTATTTAAAAAAATAAATAAAAATCGGGCCTGGCAAGCGAAAAATTAAAAAAAAATCTTCATTTACAGACCTCTAATATATATTACTCTTATAAATATGAAAAATGAACATTTTATAACTTTATAAATGTTCCAGTTTTATAGAAAGTATGATATATAATAAAATTGAAGGATTCAATATAAATTGTTGGGCCAATATAAAACAAAAAAAATTATTTATTTTATCAAAAAATTTGAAAGTTACTCATATTTTATATTATCACTACCAGAATTAAATTTTTGAACTTGATCAACTATTATTTTAATACACTTAATTTAAAGATTTATAGAGCATCTACATTTACAATAGATAGATTAAATTACATTACATTAGATAACTTTGAAATAAATATGGATTATAACAAAAATTAATTGAGGTATATCGTAAATTAATAAAATTCAATCAAAAACATAAAAGGAACATTAAACAGGATAACCAATATATATTCATTTTCATAAAATTTGTATGTATTATATTGATGAAATTTTCAATCCTGTTTTGAATTTAAAAATAAAAATCTTACTTGAGCCATGCATCCATGATTGTACAAATAAAATTGCATCAATTGATATTTACTTTATATTGACTAAATATAGTATATTATTAAAGGTACTATTTAATTCAATATAAATATCCAAAAAGGGACACGCAATTTTTTTGAGTTGAATTAAAATCAAGATTATTTTACAAAATTATAAAACTCGTAATAGTGTAGCCGTAAATCGTGCTTTTGAAACGGGGAACCCGGCTTCAATACTGGTAGATGGCAAAAAAATTAACATTACACTATATAGTCTCCTTAAATTAAATAACAAATTTGTTGTGTTTAAAGAAAAAGGAATATAAACAGTTTTTCTTTCGATGTCACACCCACGTTGTTTTTGTCATTAATTATCCCTTTTGTTTTTGTATATCATTTTTCTTTACATTCATTTTTTTACACGACATTAAAATATTAAAATCTTGTTATGATATTTTTGTTTTTCTCTCGACCAAAGGCCATTTGAAACTGGTCCAAGCCAGATTTAAGGATGAACAATATGTATAAAATCTTTTATAATAGTTATTATGAAAACAGTTATTTCTTTTATGGCAAAAACAATAATTGTTGTCAACCCACATTTGGTGTATATAGGTTAAAATTATGCAATCAAGACCTTTAATTTTTTTATATAAACTTCGATGAAAAATTTGTTTTACTTAAATTAATAAATCATTTGCGACTAGTTTTTACTTACCCCACATATACGATCGACCGTGACGACCCTCGATTAGGTATATTTAAATCCGCCCTAATCTAACGGTGCGGCGAATGTCTTTCCTTATATTTTTAGTTAATTAAAGTTTTAAATGCACACTTATCCTGCGGTGCGGCGTATGCCGTTGCTTTTATTTTTTTATCAAATTAATTTAGGACTTAAAAAGACTCTAATCCTGCGGTGCGGCGAATGTCGTTCCTTATATTTTTTGGTTAACTAAAGTTTTAAATAAAAACAGATCCTGCGGTGCGGCGTATGCTGTTCCTTATTTATCAAATTAATTTTGGACTTAAATCAGCTCTAATCCAGCGGTACGGCGAATTCCATCCGCAATGATCCTACAGTGTGGCGGTTGCAGTCACGATTATGAAAACAACCCACTAAGAGACTGGGGTCGCCTGATAATGATTTATCGATGGCACTACCCCTTTAACACTTGTTGCAGGAGATGCCAAATAAGATTGATGTTTGTTAATTGATGAAATTTAAATTCGCATGATTTTTATTTAGTACCAGTTCTTTCTTAATATAAAACAATTGGAATAGACAAATAAAAATATAAAAATTTTGGGGAATTTTCTTTAATAGTATTCTATTAATATACTTTTATTTCTTCTATTTTAAAATATGTTATGAGAATTATGAAGATTTATTACTTAAAAGGAAAATTTAAAAAAAAAATGTGTATAAAAATAAAATAGGTATTGTTTAAATTTTTTATAAAAGTCCAATATCGGCGCCGATTTGATACCGATATTTAAAATCAGAAGATCTAATCAAAGATTTACTAAAGATTGCAGAATTAAAAATAATGATTCTAATATCAAAATAAAATTTATACTTTCTATTTTTTAAATGTGGCGATCCATTAACACCATTCCAAAATTTAAATCTTTGTAAAAAATAATAAGTTTCTCCGATTTTTATAAAATTTTAACCAAATTCACTAACACCAACCTGTATCTGTATAAAAAAAATAAGAATGCTTATTTTTCATTTTCATAAAGACATTGATAAAAACACAAAAAATTGATATTTATTCATTGATATAAGGTGCAGTTAGATCTTGTAAAAATATCGGGCGAAATCCATCAAATCCAGGCGAAGAATCACGCTTAAAGGGAGAATAGCATTTCTAACATAGCTTGTAGTAAGGCGGTAGCAACTAGAGGAGCCTCGGGGCAAGAAAGTGTTTCGTCCTCGATATCATGCGAATGTTACTTTAAATGAACCTAAAAAATTGCCTGATAAGGAGCTAGCTTATTGTCAGAGGTCACGAGACATAGCAAATTTATTTGTAATTACTTTAGCTTTAGTGTGGAGGTCATTTGTGTTTATCTAGCCCCATGTCATAGTTCTTACAGGATGTGATAAATGGTAGATAGTAGCTTCCTTAACTTGTTGCGTTAGTGACTTTTTGCTCGCAAAATCAGGATCCAGGGTTAATAAATAAATGATAAGAAGTCTAGACAATGGTTCGCTGATAAAAAATGTTTAGTAGGAAAATCAAAATTTTTGATAGATATCAGACAAGCTGAAGTCGCAAACCCTTTGAATAGTTGTATATAACAAAAGATTTCGGAGTCGTTAGAAATCTTCATAAACCTAAAAAAGATGTTAGACACAGCCATTATATGGCGTCGACTACTAACCAAATTAGCAAAATTTCGGATAAAGTTTAAGGAAATACAAGCTCCCATCAGTTGAGAATTAACGTTAAAAGCGGATGCGAAGCATTGTAAACATCGATCTTAAAACGCAGTGAATTGAAGTGTGTTCACTCTTATTATTCTAAATTTCCTCATTTCAGAACTTATATTCCAGACCGCATACCTGGTATATGGATATAAACTTATTCCATCATTAGAAGGTATCCAACAAGCAGACCCGCTTGGACCCTCTTTTATGTTGGAATAGATAAAACTTAGGTTAGTGGAATTATTCTGGCTACAGGTTACCTTTCAAAGCAGGTAGATATGGTATAGGCTCACCTTCCCCACTCTTGGTCATCATCTTCGTATCTTCGCGTTTATCACGTGACTCAATCATTAACAAACTAACGACACGCCAGTTTACTCTACTTTATAAGACTATTAACCTTCTCTTTAAACCTCATTACAAGGGATTGGGGTTTACACGTGGTTGTCAATTCCATCACATTTCTAAAATCGAGAAAACAACCTGTGCAACATTTTCTTTTTCTCAACTTCTTCTGGAAACGGTTATGAATTGCCTAATGCCATTCCTTCAAGAAATCTTTCACAAGTGATGAGCTGAGTCATGCTATTGAACTCAAACTTAACTACGATATGCTCGTACCATACTCATGGCACTAGTGATCTGCATCGGGCCTAATTTTTCAAGCCCAGCCCAAAATTTTTATTTTTTTATAAAGTTTTGCCCGGCCCGAACCCGAATTTTTTTTAAAAAAATTTTGCCGACCCGACCGAATTTATTTAAATATAGAAATTAATTTTTATAATTACTCAAAATAAATAATATGTTATTTGGCGTCTACTTTCTATAAATATAATCACATATTTTTATTTTACATAAAAAATTCAACATAAAATTGATAAATTTAGATATATACTATGCCAAACTCCTTACAACTCCAAAAGTCGCTACTCCCTGTATTGTAAAAGTTGTAGACAGATTTTTAAGACTTACCAAATGAAATAACATTATATCTTGTTCATTGAAATCTGCTTCAATTACTTCTACCCTCGAGCTGCATGGACTTTTCACCATAGATTAGATTGTAAACGTCTTGGCGGTTCTTCAAAAATACCAGAAAAATGTGACTAATTCTAAACGTGGGTTTTCTTGTATAGGTTCACTAACACCCCTAATCTAAACTATAATGCTATTGCCGACGCAGAACTGAGCAAATTTACCAAATATTCTTCTGCATTGCCTTTCAACTTTATTACATCAATCATGGCTAACTTCCATTGGCACTCATGCCCTAGCTTTCTTCAAGGATCTAGGTCATCGCATTATATCGAAAACTGAAATACATCTAATATAGTATTTTAAAATACTTTCATATCAATATAAAATTAAAATATTGTATAAATATGTAAAATCTCTATTATAATATAAATATCATAAAAAACAAATAATTATATATAATGCTAAAAAATATGTTTTATTATTTTAGTATTTTTGCAATGAAAGTGAAGACTTGGCATTCCAATTTCTTAATCCTAGCGATATTTTCTTAAAATTTTATAAAAATCGGAGAAACTCATTATTTTTTACAATGGATAAATTTTATACCGCCACATTAAAAAATAAAATCAAATGTATACATCTTATTTTGATATTACAAAGATTATAATTCAATAGTTTTTAGTAAATCTATAATTGAGTGACAATCGATAAGTGTAATAGATCATTTTTCACACTTTGGACCCTTGATATCTCCAAAAATATAAAAGCTGTGATTTTAAAATTTGATCACTGCGTTAATTACATGCACCTTAGTTTGTATATAAAATTTCACACAACTACCAGGGTCGTTCCAAAAACCCGCTTTTTGATAGATTTACCATGGAATGAGACCCTATTATACTATACACTTGATAAAAAATTATTTACAAACAAACAAAATATAAGGCTCAAATATTTTAGTGGTGAATTCCAAAAAAGTAACCATAATTGTTTTTAAAAATTTATATTTGCCTTTTCTTGTGAAAGGATAAATTTTCTCAGTTCTAAATCAAATATTCCAGCTTAGATTGTATAAATCTGTACCATATTATCCTATCATTTAGTTTAATTGTATATCTATTTAAAATATTAATTCAAAGTTCATAAAACATGAAATTAAAAGATAAATCAGCAACTTACATTTCTTATTAACCTATTTATTGACAGATATTACTGTATATCAAATAGTTAAATAACTTTTATTCAAATATTAAATATAACACCTGGCGACTCAGAGTCCTCGTGCCTTCCAGTTCGGATTGAACTGCTAAGCGGCTTACACCTACCATAACGTGTTTGAGCTCGGGGCATGAGACGCGGCGTGCTACAAGTGCTGAGAGAAGGGCAAAAATGGCGCCTGCCTTTTCGGGTCCACCCCCCTCGGCCAGTCCAGCCTGACCTCCCGTATCGTCGAGTAGAAGGTGGGAAGTGAGGAGAATGCGATAGTGTTCAGAGGTTAGGCCGAGGCTAGGCGGATCACCTCTTAACTTTTTAACGAACACGGCAAGGGCCTAGAGATAAAAATAAAAATCAAACTTGTCAATTATAAGACATAATTTATATTTCTTATAAAATGTTGTAGAAAGTAAAATAATTATTAGATCCTAACATATAATGGAACCATATAATCTAATTAGAATTTAACTATTAATTTCGTTATAAAAATTTTGAATCTAAAGATTTTTTTTAATCTTTGGTAATCAAGAAAATTTTATTATTAAACTAAGAAATATAAATAAATGCTTTTTATAAAGTTTAAATAAAATTATATAGTTCAATAATTGTTGAAAAAGTAATGTAAGCTTTAAAAAAACAAGAGACCCAGACGTACGGAAATAATTATAATTTACCAGGTTTGTAAAATAATCAAGAGTTTTTTTATTATTTAAATCAAATTTTAATAATAAAATAAAAATAATTTTAAAAAATTTGCCCTGATTGAGAAAGTTATTAAATACACATATTAATTTTATTTGGAATTTATTCATAAATCATTAAATTTTATCATATATACTACCCAACTTCATATATATTCGTCCACTAGCACCTTTTTTTGCATTTTAAATTTTGATAAAAATAGGTGGGGTACCGACATTATATATTGTTAACGGATCGGCGCCGATATTGGACTTTAATCGATACTGATTTTATACACATTTTTTATTTATTTTGATCTAATTTCCTTTTCTTGTAATAAATCTTCATAACTTTAATAAAAAAGTGTGAGGGAAGGCGCCACTTATAAAATAAAGATGTTCAATACCTAAAATTTTTGGGTATTTTTATTTTTCTATTGTTTATTCCATTGTTTTTATTTAAGAGAGAACTTATAGTTAATAAAATTATTACGAATTTTTTTAATTAATCGATATGAATATTTAATTTGTTTATACTTTTTACTCTCAAATTAGTTTGTTATACAGAAAATTTGGATGCTGCTTCTCTCGGGTGGCTTATTATTTTTTTTATTTTGTTATATTAATATTGAATTGGTTCTTTTTCTGATTGTTTAATTTTTTATTTTATAAATAATTTTTTCTAAAATTGTATAAGGCTAGGGGTAAGGTAAATTTTTGGATGAAACTTGCATTTTAAATTTTTTATGGTGATAATACTATAATCAAAGCAAGATCCCATAAAAAAAAATTCAGCAACTTTAGGAAAATTAGCATAACTTTTTTCTGGAAATAAATATTAATCAAGAATTTTTGGTGATAATACTATAATCGAAGGAAGATCCCGATAAATAAATAAAATTTAAGCAACTTTAGGAAAATTAGGATAACTATTTTTTGGAAATAAATAATAATCCAAATTTGTTAGGTGTAAAATAGACCCCACCTTTGAAGTTTATAATTAATAAAATGAATAAAAATATCAAAACGATTTAATAATCGATATTTTCAAAAATATCAATATTCAAGAAGATATTCATGAATATTATCCCGATCCCCATGCGTTTTGCCTTTAGATCCCGCCACAGCCCTTCGATTTTTTGGGTGTGGATCGATTCGTTATTTGGTTCAACAAATTTTCGCGAATGATTAATCCTATAGTGGAAATAATTTGTTCGTTCTAGCCGATTATAGGGCCCGGCCGAAATTGATGCAACTCATGTGTGGAAGCGTAAATAAAATCGTGGTCGGCATTTGATCTCTGAGGGTATACATCGGTGGCATATGTCGGGAGACAAATAAAATATTTCGTGCCACAACAAGGGATCAAGAGACCACACTGCGTTTGGTTAAAAATAATGTCATGCAAGATCCGACGATAATGACTGACTCGTGGTTAGGGTATGTATATATTTTTTTCCTATAAATCGAAAGTGGTAATAAATTTGAATCTACTTATCTTAGATATAATCGGTTTGGAACAAATTATTTCCACTATCGGATCAATCATTTATGAAATTTTGTTGATCCAAAAGACAGATAGATCCACACCAGTCGAAAAGCTGTGGCGGGATCTAAAGGCAAACTATAAGACATGGGGATCGGGATAATATTCATGAATATCTTCTTGAATATAGATATTTTCGAAAATATAGATTATTAAATCGGTTTGATATTTTTATTCAATTTATTAATGATTGTATAAATTTTAATACTATATTTCAATTTAATGAATAAAATTGCGTCATTTTATTAACACTATATTTCAATTCAACCCTTCCACTACAAAGGTTAAAAAAATCACTTAAACTTCAAAGGTGGGGTCTATTAATAAATACAAAACTTTAGATTATTATTCATTTCCAGAAAAAAGTTTAGCTAATTTTTTTATAGTTGCTTAAATTTTATATATTTATGGGATCATCCTTTAATAAAAATTATAAAATGCAAAGTTTTATTTATAAAAAATTAATCAAACAGAAAAAGAACCAATCCAATATAAATAAAAAAATACTATAAAAAAAATAAAAAGCCCCCCGAGAGAAGCAGCAAACCGAATTAATATGAATATAAATATTTGCTAGCATATAGCATATAAATTTATACTTATTTTATGTAGGCAAAATAGATAAGTGAAAATCATTATTAAAAAATAATATAGAACTATATGTATATCAGAGACCTTCATGAGGCCGGGTATGTATTTACTAGAGGGCCTGGGTTTTTAATATTTTTCTTTAATTGATTTGGGCCTAAAAAAATTTCATATGGCTATTGTTTTCTTCTAATAATATAAAATTTCGTTATTGCAAGCAAAATGATTGCTTAAATACATTGAAATATTTTTTATTTTCAAATACAATTTTTGAATATGGAGTTGGGAAAAAATTTCGAAACTTATTATTGGCTTAGGAATTGTTTTAACATTAAATATGGGTCAAGCCTGGGCTTAAATATATTTTTTAGTGCTGGTGATTAAAAAATTAAGGCTTATGAAAGTCTCTGATGTATAAAAGAGATTATTTATTATATATCTTTATAAATCAAATTTAAAGATAAGACATATTTTTTGAAACTTTTTTTTTATTTTTAAAAGCCGGGATAAGTTAATATTCTGATTTAAACGCTATCGTAATTTATTTATATACAGATTTTTATTGTTTCATTATCTTATATTATATAAAATAATGACAAAAAGTAAATATCGTTATCAGATCGGTATCGGTGCAGTTTGAAATAAACATCGACAAATATTGGATATGTGAAAAAATTGTGAGTCGTGTAGTCCTAGATATTAAAAATTAAAAATATTTGAATTTAAAAAAAATGCATAAAATACATTCAAAAATAAAAAAAAAAGTACTATGTACATTTCCATTTTTAAATAATCGTCCCATTGAATTTAATATTTGGTCACATCTCCTTAATCTTTTATAACAGCGTTTATTCTTCAGACAATTGAATTTATAAGATTCCCGCATTCATATATAATAAAATTCCATATATCTTCTCTAGTTTTTTTTCGACTATCCTAGTAGAGGAGATTTTAAATTATTATAATATTCCATAAATTTTTAATCGTGTTTAAATCAGGGGTCGATACGGGCAGTATAAAATATTAGCTGTCGGCTAACCATTTTTTAGTAGATTGCGCAGTATGACTTGTGTCCCGTTTGTTGAAATACACTTGCGCCATAGAAACAAGGCATGGATGATTGAAGAAGTTTATCTAGTGACTTTTTATATTTTAAAGCATATTTATAAAAGCCAGACTTTCAATACCTTTGGAACATAAATCCCCATATCATAGTGTTCATGAAATGCTTTATTCCTATTGCTTATTACACGATTCCTAACATTACCATATTTCATTTCAGAATGAGATTCATCTGTGAGGAGAACGGTATTCCATTGTTTAGGGTCAAATTACTATATTTAAGAACTCATTGTATTCTTTCCTTCTTTTGAATCATTGTTAAAGGAGTTTTTAAATAAACTATGTTAAATAATAGCTTAGGCTCAATAATGACAAATAAATACTTTATATATTCCATTTTGGGAATTCTCATTTGGCATGTTATTGCAGAAATCTGTTTTGCTCTAATTAGAATTTCATTCATAAATTAAATCCGGGGTGCTTGCAAGGTGTTTTTCAGGTATAGACAATCTTCAACAGCGTATGTCTTATAATGCCTATATTTAGATCTTTAGAAATTTTAATTAACAAGGAATAGGGTCTAGAAGATCTATCATTTATTTCCTGAATTGTAGTATGACTAAATTTTAAACTCAAGAGAGATTTTTCATTGTATTTGCTTAAAAGATTCAATCGTCCAATCACATATCTAATAATCTTCTAAGCGTCGTTTAAAAATATTAATTGTAAAAGATTAATTAGAAAAAAAATAACTTAAAATTTATTAAGATTAGATATATATCCCCCATATTGGATGATAATTTATGAAATTAAAATGGAGGTAATTTATGAAGGATTTTTATATTTTATTTTTTTTTATAACTAACTATATAAAAAAATAAAAATATTTGGTTTTAATTTAAATTAAGTATTATTTCTATCGAAATTTTAAAATGCATAAAATAAAAAAATAACGGGCTAAGCAAAACGGCCCTGGGTCGCAAATAACATTTTCGCTTAGGTCAAAAAATATTTGCACGGCCTCGGTTGGGTAGTATATATATATATGTTATCAATATTTAATAGTTTTCCATTTATAATAATTTTAATACGTCCTGAGTGCTCTCAACATTAACTTGGTAGGAAAATTATCACTTGAAATTAAAAACTGTTTTATTTCATAAACAGTTAAACTTAATTTAAATTTTATTTTTAAAAAATATTTAAATAATCTTAAAACTACATAATGAGCAATAATACTTTTATGTGAAGTAATCGTAATTAAAAAAATAAAAGCGAATATTTACGAACGAGCCTCATTTATTTAATGAATTAAAATAAATTCATATTACTTTTGTAAATTATCGGAACTGTTCCGGGAACGTTTCAGAAATTATCGTTCCCGTTTCACCATTTTTCTCAAGTTCCGTTTCATGTCATTCTTATTTTCTCTATATTATATTGTATTACTTTTTATTGGTTAATATTGGTATTGATTTTAATTATTATCCATACAACTTTGATAAGAATTAAAATAAACATCATCTTTTTCAAAAAGGGTGCAAGCTATATGATATTCCATGATCATTAAAAAAGTTTTCAATCGGTATTATTTAAGTTTTGATTGACTTCAGTGCCGTATCCAAAAAAGTCAGATTTAAATAAAGAGAAATTGATTTTTTCAACAAAAAAATCATCGAAAATAGTATCTAAAAAAACATGCAATCACTACTAATAAACGGAAATGCAGATACCGATTCCGAAAGTGCCTGCGAATACTCATATAAAAAATTAATGGAAGAACATACCCAACAACAACCACATTTTATTTAAATTCATTGATTTTAATTGTTTCAAAAAAAACACTTTTCTTTAGAAAGGCGCCAGAATATAAAATTTTTCATTTTATTGGAGGAAAGAAAAAGGTAATAAAGCAATCTAAAAAATAGGGAAAAGAGAAGTGTAATTTTTTATATTTATAAAATATTCAATTTTTACGATAAAAATTTCATATTCCACTAATTTTTAAGAGGGTCAAATTTGGCTGGTAATAAATTTTGCATAAGCTTCAAGATTAAAATGTATTACAAATATTAACAGTTTTCTCAGCTTGAAAACCTATCGAATAATATTTATTTTAGATATTCGAATGAGCAAGTCCTTATCTACCAACTTTTAATATCTTCCCCAAAATCCTACCTTCAGCCTCCACATGGCGGGGGAGTGGCAACGTCTTTTGGCGGCCAATGGAGGTCTAAAAGGTTCCCTGTGATCTAGGTTTAAAATAGTATCACGGTCTCCTTGACGTGGTGTAAAAACCACTTAAAGGGGCTGATGTCAGGAAGGGCATCCGATTATAAAAACCTTGCTATAAAATTTCCTAATGATTACAACAAAGCATGGGCGGGGTACAGCCCAAAGTACCCCACTTTTATCCGCTTACAACAAAAAGAAGGATGGAAAACCTGGTGGAACCACGATTCATGAAAATGAAACTTATAACGGCCATAAACGACCTGATAGGGTGGCGACATGGAATGTCGGGAGTATGACGCGAAAAGCGGGAGTAATGGTCTATGTATTGCATAGAAGGCATATAGAAGTGTGCTGCATACAGGAGATCAGATGGGAAGGTAATGGCGCAAGAATGATTGGAAAGGCTAGTGAAAAGTATAAATTCTTCTGACAAGGATGTAATGATAGTAAGGCTGGAGTTAGGATATTGGTTGCGGAGAAATTGATGGACAAAGTAGTCGAAGTGAGAAGGCTAGATAACCAGATAATGATTATTAAGATTTTTGGTAGAAAGCTATATAATATTATCTCGGCATATATTCCTCAGGTTGGAAGAAGTGAAGAAGAGAAAGATATATTTTGGGACAGTCTATTGGGCGACATCGAGATTGTCAAATGATGAGGGAATTATCTTGGCTAGTGATATGAATAGACAAGTGGGAGCAAGTAGTGAGGGTTATGAAGGAGTACATGAAGGATTCAGTTACGGCATGAAAAACCTGGAAGGAGAGAGGATTTTAGTGATGCTATGGATATGATTATCTGTAATACAATGTTTAAGAAAGAATCAGAGAAGCTGGTGACTTATAAATCGGGTAGTACCAAAAGTGCAGTGGATTACTTGCTATTAAGGAGATGTGATAGAAGTATAGTAAAAAAATGTGAAAGTGATACAGGAAGAGGAATGTATTAATCAGCATCGACTAGTTATAGGAAATCTCACTTTTAAAGGCAGGATCACTAAAAGAAAGTTTGTGTCAAGGCTAAAGGTTTGGAAATTGAAGGAGAGTGCTAGATGTCAATTCAATATGAAATTGGCGATAAGGGAAGTGGAGGTGGCACAAGCATCTGGGGTAAATGATAAGCCATGAAGAAAGCCTGGGTGATGACAACTGAGGAGGTATGTGGATGGACAAAAGGGCCACCTAGGCATAAGGAGACTTGGTGGTGGAACCCGGAGGTAGCGAAAGATATGGATGAGAAACGGAGGTGCTTCAAAGAATGATATAATAGTAAAGAAAATAGTGATAACGATATTTACAAGATGGCGAAAAGAAATAGTAAGAAATAATAGCAAAGGCGCAAGAAAAAAAATGGCAGGAGTTTGCTAAAGAAATGGAATGCGCTGAGCTGAAGGAATGGGATGTGGTTCAAATAGCAAAAAAGAGGCAGGATGTGATAGGTGTTAACTGTTTGGGAAATGGTGATTGATAATAGTGGTATTAAGAACACCTGGAAGATCTACATGGAATGACTTTTGAACGAAGAAAATGAATGGGATAATGATGTTAATTGTGGAAAGGTAGAAGGGCCAGGGGAAAATTTGGCAAGGACGAAATAGAGCAGTGAAAAAGATGGGGAAATGGAAGGAATCGGGTTTAACGAGGGTAGTATCAGAGATGTTTCAAGGTTCTGATGACTTATGGATTGAATGGTTAATGAATTTAGCAAATCAAAAGGAACTATCCCCGAGACTGGCGAAGAAGTATAATTATCCCAGTATACAAGGGAAAAGGTGATCCTTTAGATTGCGGGTCTTACAGAGCTATCAAACTCTAGAACATGCAATGAAGGTATTTGAGAGGGTGTTAGAGAAGCGGATAAGGGAACAAACAAAAATTGAAGAAATTCAGTTTGGTTTTACATCGGGGAAAGGCACCACAGATGCAATTTTTGTGGTGAGACAAATACAGAAGTATCTTGCGAAGGAAAAGAAACTGTATTATGTGTTTGTTGATTTGGAGAAGACATTTGGCAGGGTGCCGCGCGAGGTTACTAGATGGGCCTTGAGAAAATCAGGTGGAGGAATAGTTGGTTATGGCAATGTATGTGGGAGCCCAAACTGCAGTACAGATAGATGATTGAGATAGTGAAAGCTTTGAAGTGAAGATAGGGCTTCATCAAGGATCCGTGCTGAGCCCATTATAATTTATCTTAGTAATGGATGTGGTGGCTAGAGAAATGCGTGAAGGAGTTCCCTGGGAACTATTATATGCAGATGACCTTGTATTAATGGCAAACAGTGAGGAAGAATTACGGGATAAAATTAGTAAATGGAAGATGGCAATGGAAGCAAAGGGCCTGAAAATGAATGCAGCAAAGACAAATGTGATGATTGGTGGAGAAAATCTAAAGATGGAGGAATCCGGTAAGTGGCCTTGTGGTGTATGTGGAAAAGGAGTTGCTAAAAATTCAATTTAATGAACACCAAAAATGGGTTTATAGTATATGTAGCGGGAAATAAAGGAAGTTTGATGTTAGCAAGAATGACCTTTAGAACGTGCATAAAAGGGGTACATATCTGGATATTGGCAATGGGTTAACCCTATGGAGAGTGGATAACTTTTGTTATTTGGGTGATATGCTAAACGCAGATTGTGGTGTCTGCGGTTATTGCACTGGTCAGGCAAGCATGGAAGAAGTTCAGAGAGATGTTGCTTATTCTAACAAATAAAAAAATATCTCTGACGTTAAAGGGGAATGTTCACGTAAGCTGAGCCAGGAGTTGTTTAGTTTATGGCGGTGAAACATAGGCTATGAAAGCGACTCAAATTATAAAGAACAGAGATAAGGATGATTAGATGGATATGTGGGATATCTCTGAGAGAGAGAAAAACTAACAAGGAATTGCGAGCAAGATGGGGTAGAGAAATGATTGGAGTGGTAATGTGCGACGAAAAAGACTAAGATGGTTTGGAACGTATCACAAAAGATGACTGGGTAAAGAGATGCACCTTGATGGAAGTAGAATCAAGACCTAGAGGAAGGGTTAAGATGACGTGGACAAATGTGATAACGGAAGATATGAGAAGCACGAATCTTACAAATATTGCTCAAGACCGTCAAAAATGAAAGAAAAATCAGAAGGAAAATTGGCCTACCTGGGTAAACCTAGAAATCGCCATATAACGGAAAGAAGAATTAAAGTTAGAAATATGATTATATAAATAATTATTTACCTTCAAATATAACAACAAAAATATAAATATTAGATTCGATTTGAAAATTAAATTTTTTAATTTGATAAAAAATCTTCAAATATTTTGCTCAAAAGATTTTTTTTCCAAATTCTGGAAAAATTAGATGATTAAAATAAAAAGTGAGAAATAAATACTTACAAATAATAATCTTAAATATTTAAGAGTTTAATATTTAAGAATAATGTCGAATATATAAAGATAAATTTTGAATAATATGAAAAAATCAAATTATACGAATAATGGATAAAGAATAATTCGACGAATAATATATTTCTCTTATTCGTATTTGATTCGAATAATTTTATTCTTCGTATTTGTAAAATAAGAAACAAATCAAATAATTCGTTTTAGGTATACCTTGAAACACTGAACAACCAATTGGTACGTGTCCCCTCGCATCACATTCACACTCCCATATTCATAGAGGCATGCAAACAATCGATTACGAATAAATTCAGCATGAACAGAAAATGTGGATTCAATGGTGGGCGACATATGAAAACGGCTTGCTGCTCGTGTCAGACAACGCAATGCTAGAACAGCAGTACGTGTGCGATGATCATCGATAAGGGAAGCAAGGATTGGAATCAAAGGAGCAACAAAAGTATCCACCATGCCCTCACAAGAAGCGGATGGGGAATCTAAAGTGGATAACACCGATAGCAAGTGACCAAGTCCGAACTCAATGAAAATGTAGAGGTTGGCAGAGGAGACGAGAGCAGTATCTAACATTTAGTAAGACAAAAATCCATTATTAGAAATTCTAAGCTTTTCCTTGGTTGATATGATTGAAAAATAAGATTTTAGTATGATATCTTATTAACTTGCAAAAATATGATTGATATTGATATAAAATTTTATTAGGAATTAATATTGGCCAAAATGTGATAAACTACAAGGAAGACCAATTATTAATTTATATTCGTATCATGTAATTAAAACATATTGTGAAAGCCATAAAAGAACATGAACTCACTATCTCTCGTCAGAATCCTGGAATTAGAAGATGGATTAGGAATCGCAGCACGCCGTTTAAAGAGATCACGACTATCTGCTGGGTAAGTTATTACAAGACAGCTTTGCGGGCGAGCACCCGGAGTGTCAAAAAGAGGAGAGGCCGCATGCCGCTTTTTGAGGGCTTCAGGGCGTGGCTTGCTTGTGGTATGAACAAACAAATTAACTATGAAAGATCCTGTAAGGAGCCCAGAAATCAAGTCGAGCTCAGGACGGGTGACAGAAGAGGCTTCAACGGCACCTCGCCTCACGCACTCAAGACAGCGTTTTACTTTTGTGATAATACGAGCGTCAGAGGCGTGAGCCTTGTTTGAGACTAAACGTGCCAATGGACCTAAGAGCATACGAGCCCCACGGGTTGAATCAGTGATATCCATCATAGATTCGGAAGCTTCTCTTGGCAAAAAAATGGCCTTTGCTACGAGACGGAAGGCATCATATGCCCGTGCGTCGGGATTGATTTTTTTGAGGGCAGGCTTAGGCAACGAAGTCCTCTCTGAGTTTCGATCTTCAGCTACTATAGTGTGGCCACCAAATAGTTCACCTGAACACAGTTCTATGACGCGTGCAAGGGATGAGGTTATAGTTGAAGAATGGACGGTCAGGGCATCCAAGAAGTTAGCGCGATCTAAAGCTGAAAGAAGGGCGTGAAGCACGCGGATCAGAGATCGCCGATGCTCTCCACCTTTTACAAGTACGGACGAAAGATTTTCGACGAGGAGCGGGAAATAGCGATCACCATCAATCTTGTTGGAGCATAAATATAGGGCCGTTTGGGTCAAAGTTTCACAGGCAGCTTCACGGAGACTCTCAGCCCGGGATTTCAAGGCATTGCAGAGTTTATATATCAAACTGTAAGGTTGTTTTTTTTAAAAAAAATATTTTAATTTTCTGCAGGTTATTAAGGATCATATCTTAACAGGAAAATCTAACCTTATGATTTTCTGAATAATAATGAATAATAAAAATAATCTTAACATCTTATATAGACTGAACCTAATCTCACGTTAGACCTTATTCACGGCCCCATGTTATTATTTTGATTTTGAAGATGGGGCAGCCGGGTAATTCCATACCAAATCGATATCTTTTCGGCCCGACCTTTTTAATTTCGATAAAATTTTGTATGCTGAGAGAATATCATTTGAAAGCATCGAAAAATTTTAGCTTCCTAGTACTCATAGTTCCAGAGATATCAATGGTCAAAAGTGCCAAAAATGACATTTTTTCGAAAAATACGAATTTTTGAAACTAAGTTAAAAAATAATTATTTTAAAAATATAAGTTATATGTCAATTTGTAACTCTATTAAAGGCCTTTTATTAAATATAAAGGATTTTTTTGAAATAACATTTTTACGGTTTTTATTTACGTTATAAATTTTAAACATAAAAATTCCAGGTGTTTCGCTTTCCATATTTTTTTGAATTTAATATTTTCTTATTCTCTAACCTTATATCTATTCATAAAAAAAATTTAAACTTGGGACAGCCATGGGTTTTTTAGTTATTATGATTTAAAAAATCAAAAAATAAATATTTTTTTCAAAAATAGATGGCGCTCCTTTATAAAATTTGTGTTTTGTTATAATTATTATTTTTTAAAACTTTTTTTCACTTTTAAACATAAATAATAAGATTTTCTAGCATTAGATGAAATGAGATTATTTAGCTGCGGTTATAATCATTTTTTTTTGTAAAAAATTATTTTATAAATTTTTAAGATATATAGGATAAATTAAAATTCATGAAAGATATTACCTATTTTCGGTTTTTCATTAAATTTAGTTTTTTTGACGCCATGAAAATTTCGTTTTGCGATAAATTACATGTACGCCCAGTAGCCGTTGATGGGCTAACTATTGTTAAAATATTATTTTTTGGTATGAAAAGGATATTTTGTGCAGCTGGATAAACAAAAGAATTTGCTGGTCCTTTAGGGTGAAGAAAATTATTTTTTACTTCATCTCTAATTACATTCACTTCTTGTACAAATCCTAACCAACATGTTACATATCCTCTAATCTCATCGATTATCAGATCCTCAATCAAATATATTCACGTGGATATATTGACATTCGTTGCAGTCAAAATAACAGGTGGGTAACGAGGGATTGCAAATCATTCTGCCTATAACATCTCTATAAGTTGTTAATGTATCCTCAACATTTTTAGTCAATGTTGCTAATTCACAGCTTAAAATCATAAGTTTAATATTCTGATGTATGCTACAAACGCATACACTATGTGTTCCGCTAGCCCCTGCTAATATACAATTTTTTGGTCTTAAGGTAGCAAATTTCGAAAATCCAATTGTTAAGTTTGAATTACTCGCCTTAAAATTTATATAATTCTTTCAAATTATTAAGAACTAACCTTTTTTGAGCGTTCACTCGTTCCTCCTTTTCAATGATAGATATGCAATCTTTTTTTTCTGGTAATATCTACTAACTTTATCAGTGCAAAAATTTTTTTAAACAATATCAACTGTTTTTTGATTGAGATATTTTGCAGGCTTTCGATTTGGAGTTGAAAGACTCCCCTTTTCTTCTAAAATGATTTTGGAATTATATGCCATATGCCATATGATATGTAGCGTTGAATATTTACTATCAGAATTTATATTTTCGATATTTTTTTGTGATAATCTTTTACGGCATTTATCACAAATATAATGTTCCGCCTCAATGTTTGGATATTGTGTCATCCACGTCATGACTTTGCGCAGGTTCTTTTTATAATTAAAGTGTTTAGATTCTTTAAAAGGATTTACGCATTTATATTTATACATTATAAATAATTTTAAGAAGAAAAATAATTAATATCAAATTATTTGTAAAATAAAAATTAATTAATATTAGGGCAGGTACATGAAAACTTATCTTTCAATTAATTATTATATTTTCTTGTATGAGATATCGGAATCTTAACTATCTTTTTAGGTAATTTAATCATTTATTATAAAAACTATTTACAAGTTATCAATATAGCAATAATAATAAGTAGTGATCTGCATCCAGCCTAATTTTTCAAGCCCGGCCGGGCCCGAAATTTTTTTAAAAAAGTTTCGCCGGCCAGGCCCGAACATGAAATTTTTTTACCCGGCCCGGCCCGAATTTATTTAAATATAGGAATTAATTTTTATAATTACTCAAAATAAAAGACATATGTTATATGTCGTTTAGTTTCAATAAATAAAATCAAATATTTTTATTTTACATAAAAAATTCAATATAAAATTGATAAATTTATATATATTTAATAAAGTTTCCAAGGTCCGACCCGACCCAGCCCGAATTTTTTTCAAAATATTAGCCCGGCCCGAATCCGATTATTTTAAATAGAATTAGGCACAAAGCCCATCCGGGCCGGGCCTAACTTTGCAAATCTCTAATAATAAGTAAGCCTATCAAACGATCAGTATAATATTTTTTCCTGATAGTAATGCTGGAAAATCTTATTATTTATGTTTAAAAGTGAAAAAAATTTAAAAAAATAATAATTATAACAAAATACGTTTTTTTATAAAGGAGCGCCATCTATTTTTGAAAATAATATTTATTTTTTGATTTTTTAAATCGTAATAACTAAAAAACCCATGGCTGTCCCAGGTTTAAATTTTTTTATGAATAGATATAAGGTTAGAGAATAAGAAAATATTAAATTCAAAAAAATTTGGAAAGCGAAACACCTGGAATTTTTATGTTTAAAATTTATAACATAAATTAAAACCGCAACAATATTATTTCAAAAAAATCTTTAATATTTAATAAAAGGCCTTTAATAGAGTTACAAAATGACATATAACTTATATTTTTAAAATCATTATTTTTTACCTTATCTCAATTTCAAAAAATCGTATTTTTCGAAAAAAGGTCATTTTTGGCACTTTTGACCATTGATATCTTAAAACTATGAGTACTAGGAAGCTAAAATTTTGGATTCGATGCTTTCAAATGATATTCTCTAAGCATACAAAATTTTATCGAAATTAAAAAGGTCGGGCCGAAAAGTTATCGATTTGGTATGGAATTACCCAGCCACAAGTATGCTTGATTAATTATACTCAAGGATATATTATCCTATGCCTATACCAAGTTACAGGTAGCGAGTTTAAGACCTGGAATTCTCTTTTAAAATTTATAGAAATTAGAACTAGATCTTTTTTTTAACATTTATAGGAACCAGATCTAAAAAAGTGCTAATAATTTATATATATGGTGAATTCCATGACAAATTAACATGAGTTACAACCTGACCTCTCAGATTCAAGACTTATTATAGATATTATTGAAAATTTTATAATTTCGATAAAAAGAATCGTATAATATTTGGTAAAAATCGTTTTATATCATTAAAGGTTAAATGAGAGCTAATTGAAGAAAATGCTCATTTTATCAATCTTAAGGAATTATATTTTAATTTTAATGAAACTCATATTGAAATAAAAGTAAGTTTAGTAAATTTGCAGATGATCAATATTTTAAATTAAAATGATAAATTAAAATTTATGAAAATAGTATTGTTAAAACCCCGATTTTTAAAAATGGCTCGATTAAGATTTTAGCCAAAATAACAATAAAGGGCAAACCTTTCGGCTATCTATGAGCAAAATCTCCAGGCTTACATAATAATATTTGATCAAAAATCTTAATCAGGCCGTTTATAAAAATCGACCCAAATCAAGCTTTATAGCTAGTGTTGTTAAACGGCTGAGCCAAGCCGGCTTAGCCCTAAATTCAGCCAGTTTTTGAGCCGAAAATTCGGATCAGGCTCAAGCCAACTAAGTCGATTTTGAGTCGAAATTTATTTATTTGAGATTTGTGTTGATAAATGGCTGAGCCAAGCCGGCTTAGCCTTAACATCTAGTTTTTGAGTCGAAAATTGAGTCAGGCTCAAGCCGGCTCATTGAAACAAATTAATGGCTTCAGTTGGCTCAGGAGATTGCTCGAGCTGGCTAAGGAGTTGGATTAAGCCGTCTTTTGAGCCGAAATTTATTTATTTGAGATTAGTGTTACTAAATGGCTGAACCAAGGCGGCTTAGCCCTAAATTCAGTCAGTTTTTGAGTCGAAAATTCGACTCAGGCAAAAGCCGGCTTTTTGAGTCGAAATTTATTTATTTGTGAATAGTGTGTTAAACAGCTGAGCCAAGCCGGTTTAGCCCTAAACTCAGCTAGTTTTTGAGTCGAAAATTGACTCAGGCTCAAGCCAACTCATTGAGACATATGAGTCGGCAGGTTCAGAGTTGGCTCAAGCCGGGAGTTTAATTTTGAGCCGAAATTTATTTATATGTGATTGAGACATTTTAAGAATATAATTATGAAGAATTTGTGCTCTACCGCCATGTTTTGAGTGAAAAAATCGATTCAGAATCAAGCTAGCTATATGGACAACATAAATGGGCTAGCTGAAGTTGTTTAAGAACTTTGAGGTCGCTCACGTGCTTATTGATAATTAAAAAACTATACTCTACCTACTCTGATTCATTTTTAATCATTCTTTCGAAATATTTTTTATTTTGAATTTGTATATTTTATCGATTTAATTTTTTGAAATTATTATTTTATATTAATTGGCTAGACAACAGAGTTGGGCAGGTCCTCCGGAAAAAGAATCTAGATACAGATACAGATTCTTTGTTAAAAAATGAATCTTAGATACAGATACTAGTATCTTTTTCAAAATATCAAAAAGATACAAGATAAAAGATACTTGTATCTTTTGCCTAATTAGAGTATCTTAAATACAAGATACTACATTATCATTATCAATTAATAGTTTATAAATTACAGTTTTTATTATTTATTTGTGAAGAACATAACATGCGCATATAATATGAATGAATATTTACAA